CCATGCACCTCGCTATATAAGTCCAATAATCTTGGACGCGACGATAAACCCTATTTCAGTTCACCACTAAATGAGTGAAAAGGCCGAACTTTAAACGCTAAACAAGTCAATTACCTGAGCAGAATATGTCCCTTTTAAGAATAATAATAAAATCGAAAAAAAAACCACTTTCCATATTCACAAGAAATCTCTGCAAAAAGCAGAGTCGATTGTACGTTTCCTGCTATATCATGTGTTTATATGGATATAAGCATGCGTTAATGAAAATTACTATCAAATAGAGATGACACCAGGTGTTCGCGAATAGGAGAGCGTATCCTGCCCCATCAATGGCACCCGTCACAAACACATGCAAAGGCAAGTCACCTAAACAAACACTGGAACATAATATGGTACAAGTCAAAATAGGGAATTACATCGGACATAATGATGCCTGATCCAATTTTGAAATGTCCTCCACTGCCGAAGCCTCTTTGGTAGGATATATATATTTTTTAATCGAAATTTCTCGTTATTTCAATAATTTGTTCGTTTTCTCGAAATTTCGAGTTTTTTTTCGTTACTTCGATTATATTTTCGTAATTTCGATTATTTTCTAGACAGTTCGAGTATTTCTATTTTTCTCTCTCTCTCGTTATTTCAACTATTTTGTCGTAATTTATATGTCAAGTTTATCTCAGAAACACGTAAATTCAAATATTTTCTCGCTGCTTCGATTTTTCTCTCGCTATTATTATTATTTTCTCGTTATTCCAAGCTTATCTCAAACATTCGAAATTTCGTGTTTTTGAAATAAACTTGAAATAACGAGAAAACATTAGAATTTACGAGAATTTAAGTGACACCATTAGTCTTTCGTACTCCACATGTCGACCATAAACTTTTAGAAATCCATGGTCACATTTCAACATCAGAAACAATTACGTACTGAAAACCGCTAACACCAACATTTTTGCCACACAACAATACCAAAAAATTGTGATACGCCCAAAAGATGCAAGTGTTGAAATGAATAAAGTCTAATGCGAATCCGATGAACACATTTAATAACCTCCACATCGATTTCGAAACGTTTTCTAAAATAATACAGATCTAGTTGGTGTCCTTCTAATTCTCACAACCTCTTCTTTATCGAATAAAATGGCAAATCATTATTCAATGTCACAAAGAAAAGACTCAGAGTAAACTTTCCAAGAACCTGTATGTGTTTGAAGATCTTTTTTAACCGGGTGACACATTCGTAGCGCTCTGGTTGAGAACGGAATATGAAGGAACGACGGAGAAGACTCTGCGTACATATACACCAGGACTGACACGCTATCTGTGTGTAAGTAGAGTGACCCGTGAAGATCTTTTTTAACCGGGTGACACATTCGTAGCGCTCTGGTTGAGAACGGAATATGAAGGAACGACGGAGAAGACTCTGCGTACATATACACCAGGACTGACACGCTATCTGTGTGTAAGTAGAGTGACCCGTGAAGATCTTTTTTAACCGGGTGACACATTCGTAGCGCTCTGGTTGAGAACGGAATATGAAGGAACGACGGAGAAGACTCTGCGTACATATACACCAGGACTGACACGCTATCTGTGTGTAAGTAGAGTGACCCGTGAAGATCTTTTTTAACCGGGTGACACATTCGTAGCGCTCTGGTTGAGAACGGAATATGAAGGAACGACGGAGAAGACTCTGCGTACATATACACCAGGACTGACACGCTATCTGTGTGTAAGTAGAGTGACCCGTGAAGATCTTTTTTAACCGGGTGACACATTCGTAGCGCTCTGGTTGAGAACGGAATATGAAGGAACGACGGAGAAGACTCTGCGTACATATACACCAGGACTGACACGCTATCTGTGTGTAAGTAGAGTGACCCGTGAAGATCTTTTTTAACCGGGTGACACATTCGTAGCGCTCTGGTTGAGAACGGAATATGAAGGAACGACGGAGAAGACTCTGCGTACATATACACCAGGACTGACACGCTATCTGTGTGTAAGTAGAGTGACCCGTGAAGATCTTTTTTAACCGGGTGACACATTCGTAGCGCTCTGGTTGAGAACGGAATATGAAGGAACGACGGAGAAGACTCTGCGTACATATACACCAGGACTGACACGCTATCTGTGTGTAAGTAGAGTGACCCGTGAAGATCTTTTTTAACCGGGTGACACATTCGTAGCGCTCTGGTTGAGAACGGAATATGAAGGAACGACGGAGAAGACTCGCCCACATATCCACAGGGACAGACACGCTATCTGTGTGTAAGTAGAGTGACCCGTTGTTACCTATAGGTCTGCCCTATGGTCTGATGTAAAAAAACCATACAATTTCAACAACAAAACATCGGATCCGAGTGATCTAACCTATCTAAACCATGGTCAACATTCATTCAAAGAAGACCAGAAACAAAAATGTAAAATGCAGCTAACAAATCCAACCAAAAGGGCAAAACTTTTTGGCAATAAATAGAAAATGCTTTATGGCATCTACACTTCACCCAAATTCACACAAACTACTATCCATTACACGTATCTGATCGAGGTATACATTACACGGAATAATTGAATGCAGTATGTTAAATTTGAATTGTGTGTATTTATTTTTCAGTATTATTCCTCCAAGTATTTTCTATATGCTGATCTTCACTATGCAATCGATGTACAACATGTATAAGATCGAGTCTTTGAAAGGCATTTAGAAGTGATTCACATAAGGAAGAGAATATATGGATTTCAACCTCTTTATTATGAGGAACACAACGTTTCGGGGTATATGCTTACTCCTTCATCGGGTGAATGAATGCCATGAGGCAGAGAGCATATATATGTACATGTAAGGACAACAAAATTAATAAGATAACAAAAGGTGGAAACTAACTAACTCATAATAAAGAAGTTGACATCCATATATTATCTTCCTTAAGATTGTACGAATATATCGATTTGGCAGGAGATTATTTATTTTTACTCCCTAAACTTCAAGGCGAAATTTAACTCTTTCAGGAAGAACAACGTCCTTAACTAAACCAGCAGCTTTCCCTACTGCACTGTCATACACATTTGATTTCCTGGTTGTACTATTTATACCATATTGTAATGGCCCCGTCACACGTACGACAACGTTTTAGAGTAACTTGCACCGAGCGTGTAAAAGACAGTACGCCGTCAAACGTCGAGCTTTCATCGAAAAACCATGATTTTGGCGTATCCATAGCGAAAACATAGCGAGTTCACCGTATATGTAACGTATGTCTAACAAGTAAGTAGCGTATCACTGACTTATACATAAATTATGACAGCGTATAAAAGCGTATTGCCAGCGTGTGTCTGGCGTGTTCAACGTATGCCCAGCGTATGCCCAGCGTATGAGTAACGTGTTACTTACGCGCTCAGCGTAGGGGAAAGGTGCCTTAAACGGGCCCCGCGGTAGTATAACTAGTAGTGTACACCCATTCATCAAACTACCACGAAAAGCGAGAGCAGTCTAGATATGTAAAAGGTTCATACGTTCCCATACGCCGAAAATTTTGTGCATGCACAAATATGTTTTAAGTCTCGGCGTACTACAACGTATACCAGGGTGCTTTTAAAGTATACACCTTACACCTTACTTATCCATAGCGTGTTTCAGCGTAGCCTGCGTTTTGGCAAACATTCTCACACGTCGCCATACGTTACTGCTATACGTGTGACAGGGCCATTAATTCCACAAAATTCTTCCATGTCGTCATGGCAGAAGACTACATTCGTTAGCCTTCGCGAACAACTTGGGTTTGAATCCCGCTTGGAACTCACTTTTATCGTGAAATTGTTCTGTCATGATAAATGATGGGGAAAACGTAGATCCTGCTAAGTTGAATTTAACTGTATTTCCTGTAAGTTAAACTACGGTTATAAACATGCGACAATAATGTAAATTCAGCTGATTACTTAACATACATTACCCGTGAGGATCCGGCTTAAGATTGGTCTTCAACAACCTATGCTTGTCGTAAGAGGCGACTGACGGGATCGGATGGACAGACTTGGTTGATACATGTCATCGTATTCCAGTTGCGTAGATCGATGCTCATGGTGTCAATCTCTGGACTGTCTGGTCCAGACACGATTTGCTGAGTGCGGCGTTAAACAACAAACAAACAAACCTTAGGAACTTAGGCTTAGAATAGTCCTCAACTCTCCATCGCTTGTCGTTAGAGGGATCTAACCTGGATCGGATGGAAAGGAACGATGAGGTGCGCGTCATCGTTCCCTGACTAGACGTTGCTCATGATATCAACCTTTGAATTGTTTTGTCCAGATTCGATTATTTACAAACCTCTATGGTGAAGCTCGGAGATCTTAAACAAATCTTAGGGCAAAGTGCTTAATACATATCGATGACTTTGTCTTTACTCACACAACAATCGTCCAGTGATAAAAATAAGAGGGCGTTATACATAATAATGTGATGAGACACAATACTGCCATGCAGTTAGTAACCTTTAATTCCATACACAAATTATGATACATCATCAGTATATTATATATATATTCGTCAAAACAATCATCTCGTCCCATCTCATATCTAACATTGTATCAGTCGTAAGGCTCTCAATCACTTGGTTTACGGATCCAAACAACTCACAAATAATGGATGAAATTAGAAACTGCGTGATTTGATTTTCTAAAATTCCAATCCTGAGAAAAAAATCAGTTATTCGATACTGTAAGGGAAGTAACCCTTTGACTATAGTAAAAAAAAATACGCTTCATGTTATTGTTTTTTTTAATACACCGACCAACAATATTTCTAAGAAAAGACAAAGCACTTCTTAAGAGGGCTGTTTTCGTTTTTGAACATTTTATATTTTGGGCAATCATCACCATAGTTTGCTGAAACAAAATCCGTAAACCAAATAATAAATTAAGAAGTCTTAAGATCAGCCCTATGTCCAGAACATGATATTGACATCTGTTTCACCTCGTTCCATAGGTTATCGTCTAGATACTCGGCTGTCGCTCACACGTGTCCTGCACTGGTACAAACACCAGGCCAGACTGGCACTTCTTGAGGAACCCCTCCCCCCAAGCATCACACTGGATGTAGGAGTTCTTGTCGAACGGGTGTGGGAAGAACCCTGGGGTGCCAGACATGCAAGGGTTAGGCAGAGACGTGATTGCTTTACCCATTTCATCCGTGAGGTACTCATTTTCACATTGTACGATCGCCTGTCGCCAGATCTTCATCGCTGGACAAGATTCCAGATTGGAAGCATTGGGCATACCGGTGCAGTGGATGAATTTGTGGGGGTCGGGGATGTACGGATGGAAGTACAGACCTTGAGAGATGGTCTCCCCAGAGCAAGGGTTAGATGAAGACGGCAATGTTGCTGTTGAGGATGGGGTTGAAGGTGATGCTGCTGGAAGCGTCATGAAGGGTGCACCGGATGTTAGCGTGGGAGAAGTGCTTGGTCGGGGAGATGTTGGAAGTTCGCACTCTGTTATTACTGCATTAAAGACTTCTCCGAGAGGACAAAGAACAAGGTAGCTCTGCCCGTGGTTGTCACAGAGGATGAACTTGTCCTTGTCCGTCGGGTGAGGGAATCTCTGAATTGGCAGAGGGACTGGTAGGCGAATACTGCACGGGCTGTTAGGGATTGAGCCATGTTCTGAAACATTAGTAGTAGTTTATGTTATGTACGCTGAAGCAATAGTCTAGTGGTTGATGTCATGAGCAACGACCAAGGCCACTGTGGAAACATGCCACCGTCTGGTCATCATTAGTCGGCTGAGATTTTCTTCGGAGACTGGATATTTTTGGATATTTTTACAGCTCTCGGATTCTATCAAAAACAGAAATTGTCCCAGATAATTGCAAGGTGCAGTTTTGAAAAAAAATAAATTTAAGCTCATGGTTTTCCTGAAAAAATAATCAAAGCAAACACCTCCCCCCCCCCCCCCCCCCCCCCCCCAACCACCCCTTCTTCCTCTTCCTCCCTCCGGAATATCAAAGGGTAGGTCTCTTAGTAAAGCTTTCCGAAACTATTATAGTAGACTTGTGAAGGACATTTCCACAGCATCGATACCTTTCCGTGAACATCTGATATTATCCTCATTAGATAGTGGACACTTGCTTTGGGTGTGTTCGGTGTATTGCCAGACATTTCTTATGATCATGGACAGGGTGATGTCGCTCGTAGTTAGTGTCCCCGTATATATATTTAGCTGTTCTAAACAGTAATCGCCCGGAAGACAGAGGTTTTCGGACTAACAAGGTGTCTCAAAACAGGCTTTTCCGATCAGTATCATTACCTGGGACAATTAAGGACGCAAACTGACTCGCCAGCAAATCTTCAATGCGGCAGTTTCTCTGTAGTCCGTTCTCCATACAGACAAGTTGTACATCTGAAAGGAGAATATCCGAATAATCAGTTAGGTAAATTTATATATTTCCACGGTTTTCGGCCTGTTTCCAGTTGATTTTTCAAATGTTTATTGTATTTTAATGTTGCTTATGCACCAGACGTAATATTGCTAAATTTAATGTCAATCCATCTTCACTTATTCTTTTAATGAACCCATACTCACCAATTCCATACTCCACTCATTCACTCAACCATACACCTCATTCACCGTCAACTACCAAGCCAAAAATCCCACCCAAACCAACCATCCCTCCTATTCAACCTACCCACCCAATCAATCACTCCTTCCTTTCAAACGACACCACCCCAGCCCCACCCCACCCGCACCCCCTCCCTCCTCAATCAATGAATCCACCCAATTAATCATCCCTCCCCAACAATCAGCCTACATAATCAGCCAACCCAATCAATCAATCTACCAAACAACAGACTCACCTAATCAACCGTCTTACCCAATCATTCAGTCCACCTAACCAACCAAACCACTCAATCAATCAATCTACTAAACAGCAGACCACTCAATCAACCGACGCATCCAATCAATCAGTCCACCTAACCAACCAAATGGCCAACCCACCGAATCAATCTACCAACCAATAGACCCACCCAATCAACCGACGCATCCAATCAATCAGTCCCCCTAACCAACCAATCCACCCAATCAATCAATCAGTTCACCTAACCAACCAAATGGCCAACCCACCGAATCAGTCTACCAACCAACAGACCAACCTAATCAACCGATGCAACCAATCAATCAGTCCCCCTAACCAACCAACCCACCCAATCAATCAATCAGCCCACCTAACCAACAAACTGGCCAACCCACCCAATCAATCTACCAACCAACAGACCCATCCAATCAACCGACGCATCCAATCAATCAGTCCCCCTAACCAACCAACCAACCAACCCACCCAATCAATCAATCAGTCCACCTAACCAACCAACTTGCCAACCCAACGAATCAATCTACCAACCAACAGACCCACCCAATCAATCAATCAATCAATCAGCACACCTAACCAACCTATCAAACTAATCAACCCGCTCACTACTAACCTCCACAGCTCTCCACCACTGCTTTGCCAGCAGCCCCGGGCAGGTCGCTATATCCTGAGAGTTTCTGGAGGTGCACCAGACCAGACGCTGTCCCTTGAATGATGGGATCCTTAGCCGCTTCTCCGACCGCAACCACAACGACCCTCACGCCTTCGTTTTGGATTAAATGAGCTTCTCGCAGAAGCTCCACCGCATTCTGTGCCGGACTTCCAGTCACGACCACAAGAACCTTACTCGAATGTTGCCTTTCTCCATTAATGGGTTGCAACGCCTCTTCCCGAATATACTTCAGAGCCACTGCTAAGTTGGACTTGTTCCCGTAGAGAGCCTGGATGCGGATGGCGCGTTGAAGTGACTCCTGTGTATTGAAGGTGTTGAGCCAGAATCTGTTGGAGGCCTTGTCTGCATATGTCACTAAGCCTATCTGGGCAGCATCTGCGCCGATCTTGAACTGATTGGCAAATCTTGAGGCGAATTCTTTCATATTTTGGAAGTCACTTTCTGATTTATTCTTTGACGAATCGAGTAGAAGGATAATATCAGGGGTTTTATCCTGGCATTCTGTAAAAATAGAATACATGTTCACTGCGTTTAGTTTTACTCTGGCATAGTGTTAGTCATTGCTACGTGAGCATATATAACTCTCCATATACGACAACTCATGCACTCAGCTTGACGAACTCAATAGGACACGGTTCATTTGATCCAAATGGCAATGACGTTATTAATTAAATTACTTTCGGTGACGCAGTTGGGTTACGATGGCCACGGACAACCCGGTACCTTTAGACGCCTTTTACGACGGTTTGCTGGAGATCAATTATAACCCGGATTCTCACGGGGCCGTTTAGGTATTAGGATGTGGATTAAATAAGCAAAATTCGACAAAAAGGAGTGTGAGTATGCGTTTACGCCCTTTTAGCAATCTTCCAGCAATATCATGGCGGGGGACACCAGAAATGGGCTTCACACATTGTACCCATGTCGGGAGTCGAACCCGGGTCTTCGGCGTGACGAGCGAACGCTTTATCCACTGGGCTACCCGACCGCACCTCGACAAAAAGGACTTCGCCACATCTGGACCTCCTTCACCTTTCCCGTTAGTAGCATCTTACGACAAGCATGGCTTGCCGAAAGTTCAATTCTAACACGGTTCTTCACGGGGGTCCGGTTAAGTATTTGAATGGGGATTGTAATAAGCAATATTCGACATATAGGACTTCGACACATCCGAATCTCCTAGATCGGATTACTATTCAATGTCGTCCTCACCTGTCCTCTTTGAAACAGAAGGATCCACGGTGATCTTAATGTCTCCATAGCAAGACGCAAGATGGCGGTGTTCTGTGTTGACAGCCAGGGTCAAAGGTCTCTGGTCTCGGATGAAGATGGAGACGGACTGTGTTGGTGTAACAGTGTGGTTGACGTCATTTAGATCTTTGCTTGGTTGAGTACTAACGTAGCTGCCAAAGACTTCTGCCGTTCCGTTTGTCACATGTACCTGCAAATTAAGTGAAAAATGAGATTATTAACCAAGTATTTCCGTGCAATAAATATATACGAGAAACAATATTTAAGTGAACCCCCAAATTATTCAGAAATGATATGTAAAGAAATGACGATGTAGAATTCAATCTTCGTGGTAACGTCAATATCTGGTAATGCCCCGTGAGCATCGATGCAAGCACATGTTCTGCGCATACTGGATATCATACGCTGGGTTCTCTTCCGTAGTATCCTTTGCCATTCTTCTTGTAAGGCCTGCCAAAGCTGTTGCAAATTCTGGCAACGCTGAGGTCGGTTGAGAACCCTTCGGCCCAGAACACCCAAAGGAATTCAATCGGTGACATGTCTGGATATTCTTCTGCCCAAGGCATTGTTGTGACACCTTGCTGTCTCCGAAAGTCGACTGTAAGACGAGCTCTGTGAGGACGTGAGTTATGGTTGGTTGGTTTGTCGTTTAACGCCGCACTCAGCAATATTCCAGCTATATGACGGCGGTCTGTAAATAATCGAGTCTGGACCAGACAATCCAGTGATTGACATTATGGGCATCAATCCACGCAAATGGGATTGCTGTCGTGCATCAACCAAGTCAGCGAGTCTGACCACCCGATCCCGTTAGTCGCCTTTTACGACAAGCATAGTCGCCTTTTACGGCAAGCATGGGTTGCTTGAAGACCTGTTCTTCCCCGGATCTTCACGTGTCTCGTGAGTTATGATCCTGGAACTCGTCCTCATCATGACCTACGCGCTGGGCAAAGAGGGTGATCACTGGACGTTCAATTTGGTCCACATAACATTGACCGGTCATGTTCCCTTGCACGATCATCATTCCAAACACGTTGTCTACCATCTGTAAAGCGTAAACAGTACCTCGATTCATCAGAAAACATGGTGTATCTCAAATGCCGCCGTTGACGACCTCCAAACTGCTGTGCTCACTGTTGTCTGAGGCATCTGTGTGCCACAGTTCGACGCCTTCCTCAGAAAGGACGTCTTGATTTCAGATCAGCAGTTGTGAACCTTTTTTCGTATCGTTGACGTCGGATTCCTGTGGCAGCCCTGACGTTCTGGTGCAGAAATGAATCTGTTTCTCAAGCGTACATGTCGATCCTGCCCACCCGTTTTGCCGATTTCGTTCCATCAGTCGGGATATGACACGTTTAGATTCCTTCGTTGTATCCGATCGATGAACCATGTGGTTGTGACGTTTATTGGTTTGTTGTTTTACGCCGCACTCAGCAATATTCCAGCTATATGACGGCGGTCTGTAAATAATCGAGCCAGGATGTGTCATCGTGGACTGCTTGTCTTACATACCCATGAAGATCCGGGGTAGAATAGGTCTTCAGCAACCCATGCTTGCCGTAAAAGACGACTGTGCTTGTCGTAAGAGGCGACTAACGGGATCGGGTGGTCAGGCTCGCAGACCTTGTTGATGCATGTCATCGTATTCCAATTACGTGGATGGATGCTCGTGTTGTCAATCACTGGATTGTCTGGTCCAGACTCGTACATGTATGTATGTATGTATGTATGTATGTATGTATGTATGTATGTATGTATGTATGTATGTATGTGTGTGTGTGTGTATGCATGTGTGTACATGTATTCAAACCAGAATAAAACGGACTTTAACGGAGTTCACTTCATACAACGCCGAAGTTTTCAAATATAATATCAATACAATATCAAGTTGACAATGTGGTATTGTATCCGAAACGATTATCCTCGTATTTACCTTCACTGTAGCCCCAACCGAGCTGCTTTGTACTCGAACTAACACATTCGAGCCACAGGGGTATTTGTATTCACCAGGCTGTAGCCCGACCGCCACTGCAACATCCAAAACATGACTGTTAGTAACACACCCCATCCTCTTCATCTCCAGGGCTCGCATCCCCCTGGTTCCATTCCCGGGGTTCTTAGACCGCCTCCGTGGTCTAGTGGTAGAGCGTCCACCCAGAGAGCGGTAGGTCCGGGATTCGATCCCCGGCCGCGTTATACCAAAAGACGTTAAAAGTTTGAACTTGTTGTTACCCTGTCTGGCGCTCGGCTTTAAGGGGCTAAAACAAGGACTGGTCGGCTCGGAGTCAGTATACTGTGTCTGAGTGGGGCATTCGTGTTAAACTGCGGCATGGTATCTCAGTGGGCTAGCAATATATATCGGCATCAGTTCGGACTAGTACAAGCAGCCACATACACACACACACACACACACACACACACACACACACACGTACATGCACGTCGCTATATAAGTGCAATAATCTTGGACGCGACGTTAAACCCCATTTCACCTCACCTCACCCATGGTTCTTAAATTACCCGCCCTTGAGGGCTTTCGTGTCAGTCTCTATCGTAATCAATAGGACTGGCGACCATGTTGTTGACATCGCCAATCCCACATTGAGGCTGGTTTGTAACTCGCATTCTGATTGGTCCGTTAGACTTAGTAGCCTAGCAAATCAAATTAGGTGATGAAGGGCGGGTAATTCGAGATCGCTCACTTACTCTTTCCGGGGGCAGGTTGGCCAGATGTTTAAGGCGCCGCTATGCAGAGGTCCGCTCCTTGGGCACGGCAGAAACCTATAATTGCGGGTTCGAATCCCGGTTCGTACCGTTTATGTCTTTAGGGTTATCAGTACCATACCCGTGCTCGCAGGTTTCACCAAAGTGGTAAACGTCTGATATTCCAAAAGCAATATTCCAGCAGCTCCAGATTTTGCTGTCTTCATGTCAGATCAAATGTTGTTTGATCAAGGTTCCAGGATTCAGTTGGCAAGGCTGTCTCAGCTGGTTGGTTGGTTGGTTGGTTGTTTAACGCCGCACTCAGCAATATTCCAGCTATATGACGGCGTTCTGTAAATAATCGAGTCTGGACCAGACAATCCAGTGATTGATATCAAGAGCATCGATCCACACAATTGGGATTGATGACATGCTTCAACCAAGTCAGCGAGCCTGACCACCCGATCCCGTTAATCGCCTTTTACGACAAGCATAGTTGCCTTTTACAGCAAGCATGGGTTGCTGAAGACCTATTCTACCCCGGATCTTCACGGCTCAGTCGTATGAGGCACCGCAATTCGCTGTCCAGAGTTGCGTCCCTTGGGTACCCCCAAAACCTATGATTGTAGGTTCGAATCCCTGTTGACACAGATTATGTTTCTTGGTTTGTCATATACGTGCTCGTGGGTTTCACCGAAGTGGTAAACATCTGAGACCTGCATCACTTCGGGCTTTCCTCCCACATTAAGCTGACACGCCTTGATATAACTGGAATAAGTAAACTACGTTTATAACGAACCGCTTATAACGAACTGACGGATATAACGAACTGTTACTCGGTACCGTCCATTTTCTGTATAGATGTTGTGCATATGCTTATAATGAACTACGGTTATAACGAATTAAAATTAGTGGTCCCTTTCAGTTCGTTATAACCGTAGTTTACTTACTGTTCGAACCGGTGTTAACCCCAACTCACTCACTCACTTTTTCTGCTGGTATGAAAGGACATTGAAATACTGTAAAATATATATAAAACAACACAATACAGAGAACCTCACCTCTACACGATGTTCGAGCAACATATGGGTGCAAGGCCTCAAGTCTTCTAAAGTCAGCCACGGTGTAGGTGTGGGCACAGGCAGGTGCACTGGCAATCTGGCCCAGCGCGGCACTATTGAGCCCCGTCCCCACAGTGTATATAGACACGCCCTGGTTCTTCAGTGTAATTGATGCCAAGATACCCTCATAAGACATGTTCATTGGAGTGCTAGAAAACAGAATGATTGTCTTGGCAGCGTTAGTGCGAGAACCTTTGTTTGACATGAAGACTCCTGATGCCAACTGGAGAGCCTTGGGTAAATTGGCTGTCCCTTGGTTGATGGTCAAAGCGCTGATGGTGTTCAACAGGCTCTGCTTGGTCGAATAGGAGCCCAACGGGATGTCCACTTTGGGGTCAGCGCCGTAACTCTCCACTGCAATCTGGGCGTGGTCATGGTCAATGTGAAGAGATTGGATGTAATTCTTCATAAACGTGGTGATATGACCCGAGTCAAACACGGCGTTCGGGGTCGTGTCGATGAGGAAGAGAAGATCTACTTGCTCGTCCTTGTGGCAACCTGCACAACAAATCATAATATTTTAGACCCGTGAAGATTCCGGGGTAGAATAGTTCTTCAGCAACCCATGCTTGCCGTAAAAGGTGACTATGCTTGTCGTAAAAGGCGACTAACGGGATCGGGTGGTCAGGCTCGCTGACTTGGTTCATGCATGTCATCGATCCCAATTGGGTGGATCGATGCCCATGATATCAATCACTGGATTGTCTGGTCCAGACTCGATTATTTACAGACCGCCGTCATATAGCTGGAACATTGCTGAGTGCGGCGTTAGACAACTAACCAACCATAATATTTCAGGCGTTAAACCAAACTCACTCATACAGCACAGGCGGCTTCAACACCATCCTCTATGTCTCAAGGGCTCGCATTTCGGTAAAAGTACACAAACCCCTGGTTGGGAAGTTTCTTTTTTTTCGGCCATCGATCAGGCATTTGTTTGTTGTTGGTTTTTTTGTTTTTTTTGTTCTGTGTGTGTGTTTGTGTGTGTGTGAGTGTGTGTGTGTGTGTGTGTGTGGTTTGTTGTTTAACGCGGACTCAGCAATATTCCATCTATATGACGTCTGTAAATAATCGAGTCTGGACCAGACAATCCAGTGATTGACATCATGAGTTTGTTGTTGTTGTTGTTTGTTGTTTAACGCCACACTCAGCAATATTCCAGCTATATAACGGCGGTCTGTAAATAATCGAGTCTGGACCAGACAATCCAGTGATTAATATCATGAGCATCGATCCACGCGATTGGGATGGATGACATGCATCAACCAAGTCAGCGAGCCTGGCCACCCGATCCCGTTAGTTGCCTTTTTACGGCAAGCATGGGTTGCTGAAGACCTATTCTATCATGAGCAATTGGGATACGATGACATGCATCAACCACCCGATACCGTTTGTCGCCTCTTGCCACAAGCATAGTCGCCTCTTACGGTAAGCACGGGTCACTGAAGACCTATTCTACCCCGGATCGTCACGGGTTGCTTCTCTGCTCAGGAATAGGGCTTCATTTAACATTTTATACTTTGGTACAGAACTTGCAATGTTACATGCATCACTAAGAGCTTTCCGCCAACATTCCGCTGACCTACCGTGATACTGGTCAAAGGGGTATTAAATTAAACTCAATTGTCTTGACATCCTTGGAAATTCAAGCATTCATTAAAACACACACAACGTCAATGCTTTAGCGTTATTTCCGTGTAAGCAGCTGCAGGTACAACACGAATATGGAAATACAGTAAACTACGGTTATAACGAACACGCTTATAACGAACTGACGGATATAACGAACTTACTTTTTGTCCCGACTATTTGCTGTAGTTATGCTGTATATATGCTTATAACGAACTACGGTTATAACGAACTAAAATTATTAGTCCCTTTGAGTTCGTTATAACCGTAGTTAACTGTAGTTTCGGCTAATATATTTTTATTCAGACTAAATGATCAATTGCTTTGTTCCTACCTAAATCAAGTTCTTTCGAAAGGGGGACAAATGTTCCGTTTGTTCCTGTGGGTTTGTAGTGAGATTTCCAATACTGTTCTTGTTCATCGATGGCGGACGGGATAAGCCAAGGCGCTCCTTTGCCCAGGAGGTACATGGCAGCCGCAAGGCCGGAATACAGGGGTTTGCGGAGGTCAGACCAGGTCACGTTTGACCAATCAATGCCAAGCTTGTTTGTGACCGTTGCATAAAATGACTTTCCCATCTTGGTCTTTGTTTCATTGAACATTGTTTCGTCAACCTGAAATAACGGAAGCATAATGCCTACATTCACAATGTGTGTAGTGTTAAAGGTCCTGTTGGGTAGCCTAGTAGTTAAAGCGTTTGCTCGTGGGGCACAGGAGCCGAGATCAATTCCATCACGGGATCGGTGTGTGAAACTCATTTTGGTGTCCCCGTGATGATTGTATTGTTTATTTGTTGTTTTACGCCGCACTCAGCAATATTGTAGCTATATGACAGCGGTCTGTAAATAATCGAGTCTGGACCAGACACTCCAGTGATTGACATCATGAGCATCGATCTACGCAATTTGGACACGATGACATGCATCAACCAAGTCATCGCGCCTGACCACCCGATCCCGTTAGTCGCCTCTTGTGTAACAAACGATTGACCCATACAAGATTCCGGTCAGAATTTCTTAATTTTTATATCAACTGAATATCCTTACTTTACGGTTGTTCTGATAAAAAGTGATCATACTGCAAAACTTATTATTTAATTAATGTGGTATCCCTTTCGCCAAACTGAATTTCACGATTTGGAAATTTGGGATTGAGAAAAAATGATACTTATCAAGAAAGGTATTCATACACAATCCCATTTACTAAACTTGTCCTAATAATGAAACTGCAGCATACACTCCAATGCGCTTTGATTTCTAAACTCAAATGAGTAACGTGAGTTTCACGCCGCTTTGAAAACGATTCCATTGATGATACCTGTCGGTGTTGTGTAGTGCAAAGGGTTTTGGATCTGAGACGTTTACCAGTAATTCCATTTTCTAAAGGTAAGAGAGACCCATGAAGATCCCGGGGTAGAATAGGTCTTCAGCAACCCATGCTTGCCGTAAAAGGCGTCTATGCTTGTCGTAAAAGGCGACTAACGGGATCGGGTGGTCAGGCTCGCTGACTTGGTTGATACATGTCATCGATCCCAGTTGCGTGGATCGATGCTCATGATGTCAATCACTGGATTGTCTGGTCCAGACTCGATTATTTTACAGACCGCCGTCATATAGCTGGAATATTGCTGAGTGCAGCGTTAAACAACAAACAAGCAAACAAACAAAAAAGGTAAGAGACTCCTACGTATGTCTCTGACTTGTCACAGTGAAACAGTTTGATCAATTGACTCTAGTCTTTACGGATCCGGGGGCACGGGTGGCCCAGTCGTCTAAGGCGCCGCGATTCGCTGTGCAGAGTTGCGTCCCTTGGGCACGCCAGAAACCTATTATTGTGGGTTCGAATCCCGGTTCGCCCCGATTATGTATTTAGGTTTGTCAACCCCATACCTGTATGGAGAACATATATATATATATATGTACCTGTAAGAACAACAAGAGTTCTTACAGGTACATATATATATATTCTCTGCCTCATAGCATATATTTACCTGACGAAGGAATACACATATACTCCGCTCGTCACGATATGGCTGAAAATTTGCCGATGTGACGTTAAATATTAACTCACTCACTTACATAAAAACGTTGTGTTCCTCATTAAAGAGACGTTGACATCCATAAATTCTCTTCCTTATGTGTATCACTTCAAAATGCCTTTCAGAGACTTATCACAGTATAAGTACACACATTATTATCCTTATTAACCTACCTGCCATATCCCCCCGTTATACCCATCACGGTATGTTTTAGGGCTGGCGCCATCTTTGGACTCGACGTAGGCAATTCGTCTCAGAAACAGCTTATCATCGGGGAAAATGCATGCGTCTCGCAGTGCACTCATCACGCCCTCGACGACATCAGACCCATACGTACCATTCTCTCGGGTCCGATCTCTCTGACACCTTACAGCTGCAAAAAATACAAAAAATAACCCTATTCCGAATTTCATATTTAACATATTCCTCGAATGGTTCAAGTTGAAATAAGAGTCCCCGCGTCTTCTGGTTGATGCCTCTGTCACGATCTATGTTGTACCGTTTCACGCCCCACAGTGCACAATGTGAATGACAACTCTTCCTTGTTATCAGTTTAAAATCAGTGTTTGAACTTGTCCAGCTGAGTATTCACCTTCTTCAGAACAACACAGCTTTTAAAGTTCTTTGTATCCGGCTTGCCAGGTATGGTGTTCTGCGTTGGAATAAACTGACATGAACTGCAGGCAGTGTTCCTGGCAACGACAATTGTCTTTGGCACGGCGCCCTTTTGGGGTCCGTCTCCGGGTGCATTCCTGTTCGCTGAAATCACATACTTCGTGTATATCGCTCCATAAAGAGGTCAACCTATTTATTTACACGGCAAATATTATAGATAGATGCATATGGTCACAGTGATGCATTTCGTTTTAGCATAGATATGGTATCACCTTTAACAATGCAGCTGGTATATAAGGCCATTGTATATTAATTCTTAGATTTACCAACTACACCTGTGAACATCCGGGTTAGAATTGGTCTTCAGGCCAATGCTTGTCGTGATAGGTGACTAACGGGATCTCATATCGTATCCCATTTGCGTCGATCGAGACCCGTGAAGATCCGGGGTAGAATAGGTCTTCAGCAACCCATGCTTGCCGTAAAAGGTGACTATGCTTGTCGTAAAAAGGCGACTAACGGGATCGGGTGGTCAGGCTCGCTGACTTGGTTAATGCATATCATCGATCCCAATTGCACGGGTCGATGCTTATGATATTAATCACTTGGTTGTCTGGTCCAGACTCGATTATTTACAGACCGCTGTCATATAGCTGGAATATTGCTGAGTGCGGCGTTAAACAACAAACCAACCCACCAAGCGTAGATCGATGCTCATATTGTCAATCGCTGGATTGTCTGGTCCAGAGTCGATTTACAGTAAACTACGGTTATAACGAACTCAAAGGGCCACTAATTTTAGTTCGCAATAACCGTAGTTCGTTATAAGCATATATACAGCATATATACAACATATAGTCTGGGACTAAAAAATAAGTTCGTTTTATCAGTCAGTTCATTATAAGCGTGTTCGTTATAAACGTAGTTTACTGTATTTACAGCAGGAATTGTTGTGTGGGGCGTTAAACAATAAATTAACAAACAAACAAACACTACCAATCATCCCGTCTATCATAATTGTATTGTCCCCAGATACCTAAAAGAAAAGAACATCATTATATGTGTCGTCTTCTTTCTTTACCTGATGACATACTGCATATACATAGTCCTACAAAACATTTATACTTCATGTTTATCTCAACCATCGACAGTTCATGTTATTTGTTTGTTTGTTTGTTTGTTGTTTAACGCTTCACTCAGCAATATTCCAGCTATATGGGGGCGGTCGGGTAGCCTAGTGGTTAAAACGTTCGCTCGTCACGCCGAAGACCCGGGTTCGATTCCCGACATGGGTACAATGTGTGAAGCCCATTTCTGGTGTCCCCCGCCGTGATATTGCTGGAATATTGCTAAAAGCGGCGTAAAACCATCCTCTCTCACTCTCTCTCCAGCTATATGCCGGCGGTGTGTTCACAGGTGACCAGATTGTTTGAAATTTTCTTGTAACATGTAACTGCCTCACGTCTCACATTTTAAAAACTTTTTTAATGAAAATCTAATAAATAAGTTCTTATCGCCTAAATGAATACGTTTTATCATGTGCCACTGGTGTGAGCTGTACGTCAGCCACCGTGTAATTTATCAAGATTTGTCAACACCTACCGGTTGTCCTGCGCTCTTACAAGGCTGGAAACTTGCTGAATTCAATCGGCTTGAATCGTATCATTGTATAAACATTGTTTGGCATTACTACCGTTTACACTCGCAATGTTAGGGCGATTTAAAATTCTGGTGTTATCGCGGTTACCGGGGTAACCGGGAAAACAGTATAACGCATAGTTAAGATTTGTATTCTTGTACAGTAATGCTTATGGTACTGTTATTTTTTAAAGATATTTAATTTGATTTTAATTTGATTTTATTAAAATTCAGTGCAAAATATTAGATCTGCTAGATCTTATTGAACAATGATGTTTACTTTGTCAGAAGAACCGAAATCTAATCTAGTTTTCTTTTGAGATGAACGGCATTGATCAAACATGAAACCGTTGCCGTTGCAACGAAAGTTGAGTAGTGAGTGAGTTGCGTTTAACGCCGCTTTTAACAGTATTCCAGTCATATCACGGCGTGTCAGCTTAATGTGGGAGGAAAGCCCGAAGTGATGCAGGTCTTCGACGTTTACCACTTCGGTGAAACCCACGAGCATAGGTATGGTGCTGACAAACCTAGAAACATAATCGGGGCGAACCGGGATTCGAACCCACAATCATAGGTTCCTGGCGTGCCAAAGGGACGCAACTCTGCACAGCGAATTGCGACGCCTTAGACAACTGGGCCACCCGTGCCCCTGAGAGTTGAAAGTAGAGCGTCGCAAATGTGGTACCTCGGGAAAACCTCCATAAGGGTCAGCATCATGTGTTACTGAACTTGGTGAACATATATGTAGTTACATTTCTATCTTCAGTGGTTCGGGACATTTTGTCATAAATGAACGGAAATCCCATGTGAAGTTTACTGAGATTATAATATGTTTTTTGTTTGTTTTGTTTGTTGTTTAACGCCGCACTGAGCAATATTCCAGCTATATGACGGCGGTCTGTAAATAATCGAATTTGGACCAGACAATCTAGTGATTGACATCAAGAGCATCGATCTACGCAATTGGGATACGATGACATGCATCCACCACGTCAGCAAGCCACTTTTATTAAGAGTCAAGAAACTTCACGGAGGGGCATCGGAAATAGGCTTCACACGCTGTACCAATAGGGGGAATCGAACTCAGATCTTCGAGATGACGATCAAACGTATGCTTGTACCGATAGTTACCCTCTGTGTCTCTGGGAATACGCCCATCATCGACAGATGTAATAGGTTTGGGTGAATATTGCTGGCACAACAATTTGATGTCACTTGAATGTAAAATAATGCTATATCGGATTAAACTCGCTTCACCAAAGGACAAGGTGGGAAAAGGGTATGTATGATTTAAGAAATGAACCAAACTTTTAGAAATTGTAATGACCCTTTTTCAGTTGTGTTCATATGTGTGTGGGCGCGCTTGTGTGTTCGGTGTTTAACTGTGCTGAAATGGGTGGTTTTAGGTGTTGTCGAGGAGCCATCTGTTAATTATATGAACATGAGTGTTGGACAAAAACACATATTCTAAGAGTGAGTGAGTATTATTTTACGCCGCTTTTAGTAACATTCCAGCAATATAACGGCGGGGGACACCAGAAATGGGCTTCACACATGGTGCCCATGTCGGGAATCGAACCCGGGTCTTCAACGTGACGAGCGAACACTTTCACCACTAGGCGACCCGACCGCACCTGAAGATAAAGACGACACATGGTACAATATTATGGTAATTAATGTAGGGTCACCTACTTGCTCATAGTTAGATTTCCTCTTGAATTTTGAAATCTGTTTGCACTCATTTTAGTCATTCTTGGGTAGCGGCGGTAGGGTTGCCAAGAGGTGACGCCGAAGACCCGGGTTCGATTCCCCACATGCTTACGAAGTGCGAAGCCCATTTCTGGTGTCCCCCGCCGTGATTTTGCTGGAATACTGCTTAAAGCGGAGTAAAGCCATGCTCACACATATTCTTTGGTACTTGAACATGCCAGGAGTAGAACAACATGCCAGTGTCAGAAAGAGTGAGTGAGGTGGGTTTAACGCCGCTTATAACAGTATTCCAGTTATATCACGGCGTGTCAGCTTAATGTGGGAGGAAAGCCCGAAGTGATGCAGGTCTCAGACGTTTACCACTTCGGTGAAACCCACGAGCACGGGTATGGTGCTGACAAACCTAGAAATCGGGGCGAACCGGGATTCGAACCCAAAATCATAGGTTTCTGGCGTGCCCAAGGGACGCAACTCTGCACAGAGAATCGCGGCGCCTTAGACGACTGGGCCACCCGTGCCCCCGTCAGAAAGAAAAAAAGGCAGTCTACAGATGCATCATGGTCATTCAATATGAAGGCTGTGGACAAGGCGAAACTGGCAGCCCCCACCTAGACAGAAGCGTGTCTACAGAGAACTGGAAACTAACATCAAACGCCTAAAAGACCAGCTTCAACAGGAAACAAAATTAATGCACTAATGCAGTACCTGGATACCATTGATCATCTGCTTAAACTTCGTTGAGAGAGACAACCAATAGACAATTATATATGCAAAATGGCTTAAAGTAGCAGTTGTTTGTCACTTTATATTATTATTTAATATAATGAAACTTGAAATAGTGCTCAATTCGTAATTATACATACGTTTTAAACAATCTGGTGTTGTGTTGTTCTGCCTTGGTCACTCTATTCTAACACCAATGTGATCAGCCGTGCAGTCATCCCTATCCTATATTGTTTAAGGTGTGTGACAAATGGCGTGTGTAACTAATAGAAGGAGGTCTGGAAGGAGGTTAGGTCTACTAATGCCTACAGTGACAAATGCCTACAGTGACAAGTGCCTACACAAGTTGTTGTTTTAGTGTGCACACTGTTTCACGCACCCCTGCACTCAAGTGGTCTACTCTAATTAATGCCTTAGAAATGTTACTGGCATTGTGAAATATTTAACCTTTGTATAGATTTATTTTCTTAGATGGTTTTGTACTTTGATAACCGCAGCAGGAAATATGGATTTTCTGTAAAATGAGAGTAGAAGAATAATGTTTCAAAGTAATTGATGATAAACTTTGAGAAGGAAATTTTCCAGTATAAAATATAGTTATCGAAGATTGGCATATAAGCAACCCCTAAAGCCCCCTCTTGGGTTGCACAGACCACTTTCGCCCCTTTCGGAAACACATTAAATGGCCTGGCCGGGCCATAAGTAAGTAAGTAAGTAAGTAAGTAAGTAAGTAAGTAAGAAAGACTGGCATGTTAGAGGAAGAAGGATCAGTATCATATGTCACAAGAAGGTGGTCAGCAAGTCCTACTAGATGGCTACAGGTACAGACTCAACAACCGTAGGCTAACATGTGTGCACTGGAAATGTGTGTTTTAGACTGTAGGCATTTGTCACTGTAGGCATTAGTGGACTCCTCCTGGAGTGAGTGAGTGTGGTTTTACGCCGCTTTTAGCAATATTCCAGCAATATCACGGCGGGGGACACCAGAAAAGGGCTTCACACATTGTACCCATGTCGGGATTCGAACCCGGGTCTTCGGCGTGACGAGCGAACGCTTTAACCTCTAGGCTACCCGA